CATATTATTGTCGTTATTTCCTGTCTTACCCTGTCCGTTGTCTCCCTTCACCCACATTTCTGGTATTCTTCCTCTTTGAGGGGGGGGCTATATATCCAACCTTGTGATGAGTTCCCCCTTTCTCCCCCTTTTCCCTCCCATCCCCCTACCCATCTGTTATCACTCCTCCCACTACTGTTCCTGAAGGCTTTGTGGGTTTGGGTGGTTTTTTTTGCTTCTTTAAGGTGTGCACTTTTCTTGAACTGGTCGAGTCTGTGTACAGGGAAAGCCCTGGCTCCTCCATGTCCTAAGCAGCCCAGGGGGACCCCAAAGCCTTCCTATCCTTCTAAATTTGGGGAGCCGGCCCACAATGGCTGACCATTCCAAAGGAAACTTTAAAAACAGAGAAAACCGTATTAAGGCAGAAGAATCCTTCTTTTAAAAAACAAAAAACCTCGGTTACATAATTTACACAAAAACCATGCTCTTATCCCTTTGTGCCTCTTGTGGGCCTGGCGGGGAGGAGACAGGGGGCAGAACCCCTTCTCTGGGAAACATGGAGTGGGGCCGGCTCTGGAGCAGGGCAGGAGCTTCCTGTCACATGACGTCGCACGGCTTTTGGAATGACGATTAAGTTTTTAAGTTCTCCGCAAAGATTAAGGAAGCCAGGCCAGGGAGAAGAGAAAGGGGCAGCTTATTCTGTGCTTCCCGGAGGGATTCATGGACTCCAGCAGGGAGAGAGAGAAGGAGATGGGAGCCCTGGACACCCAGGCTGGACTCCAGGGGTCCCCCTTGGGGGGACCCGAGGAGAAGTCGCGCTTGTCTGTAATGGAGAGCAAGTTTTAAGCTGGTCAGGGGAGAGGGCAAAGCAATAAAGGGAGTGGGTAGAAACAGCAGGCGGGCAAATAAAGAGGAAGGGGTGAGGATTCTCAGCTTCAGGGGCTCTAATGGGTCCCTGTCCATAAAAATCCCGAGGCAGGGTGGTGCTTTGATCACTCCGTCTGGTGCCCAGGCAGATGGCTCATTGATGTGTGGCCCCCTGGTCCTATGGAGGCAGGCAGGCTATTCCTCCTCGGACCGGTGCCTGACCCAACATCACAATGACTATTTTAAAAAGGAAAAAAATAATCCCATCCAATCAAAGTCCTCGGCCACGTTGTACAATTTGGGGAGGCTCGCTCCCTCGGCGGTCACCCTCGCCGTTCCAGTTTTTAGCTCCTGCGTCAAGCACCAAAATAAAAAGTGGAAGAAGAAAAAAATAGAGCCATACCAATCTCATCTTTTTTTTGCGCAACTTAGTTTTTTCTCAGGAAAGGGTGTAGCGCAACTAAGGAACAGTCTAGAAAGATTTTCGGTGGAGGATGGAGGGGCTGGACTCATCGTACTCCTGCTTGCTGATCCACATCTGCAGGAAGGTGGACAGCGGGGCCAGGAAGGAGCCGCAGACCCACACAGAGGACTTGCGGTCACTGGGAGCAAATGATCTGGGAGAGAAGCGGATGGATGGTCAGTGGCCAAAAAGAGCCACTTGCATATCCCAGGACCCCCACCCCAAACTAAGTCAACAGGTCCCCGGTACAGGATGGCCAGGCTGGTGGCCTTCTCCCACATTCCCATGACTGGGTGGATGCCCACCCTTGATCTTCCTCGTGCTGGGCGCCAGTGCTGTGATCTCTTTCTGCATTGTCTGCAATGCCCGGGTACATGATGTGCCACTGGACTGGCGTCGAGGTCCTTCCGGATGTCCATGTCCCACTTCATGGTGGAGTTAAAGGCCGTTTCCTGGATGCTGCAGGATTCCACTCCCAGGAAGGATGGCTGGAAGAGGGCCTCGGGTCTTGGGCAGCGGAACCAAGTGCTCGTTGCCAATGATGACGAGCTGATCGCCGGGCAGCTCTTAGCTCTTCTCCAGCGCAGAGGAGGAGATGGCCATCTCCTGCTCCTCGTCCAGGGCGACCTCGCGGGGCTTTTCCTTGATGTCGCCCGTGATCTCCCACTTGGCCGAGGTGGTGAAGCTGCAGGCCCACTCCATCAAGATCTTCCTGATGTAGTCGGCCAAGTCCCAGCCAGCCAGGTCCAGATGTGGCAGGATGGCGTGGGGGAGGGCATACTCCTCGTAGATGGGCACCCTGTGGGTGACCCCATTGCCAAAATCCACCACATGGCCAGAGGCAGACAGGGACAGCAAGCCTGGATGGCCACGTCCATGGCGGGGGTGGGGGTGGGGGGGTGAAGGTCTCGAACATGAGCTGGGTCATCTTCTCTTGGTTGGCCTTGGGGTTCAGGGGAGCCTCGGTCAGCAGCCCGGGGTGCTCTTCGGGGGCCACGTGGAACTCGTGGTCCCACTTGGTGACAGTGCTGTGATCAATGGGGTACTTGAGGGTCAGGATGCCTCCCTCCTTCTGGCCCATGCCCACCACCACGCCCTGATGCTGGGGGACATCCCACGGTGGAGGGGAAGACAGCCCAGAGGGCATCATCACCCATGAAACCAAAGCCAGCCTTGTACACACTGGGAGTCCTGGTCGACCAGGAGCGCCACGCTATCATCATCCTTGGTGAGCTTGGGAGCAGCACTGTGAACCAGCAGCCGTGAGAAGCTAGTGCTCGGAAGAGGACAAGGTCTCAGCTCATACCTGAGCGTTTTATCTGTCCTGAATTTCACGTGTCAGGAGCTCTTATTATTTTTGTATTGGGGGCTCTTACAGGTCTTATCACACTCCATCCATCCATCCATTGTGTTGAACACATCTGTCCATATGTTGTCATCTTTTCAAAATATTTCTTTCTACTTGAGCCCTTGGTATCAGTTCCTCACCTTTTTCCCTCCCTGCCCCACCCATGTCTCCTTGATAATATATAATTGATTAATTTTTTCCATGTCTTATACCAGCCGCTATCTCCCTTCACCCACTTTTCTGCTGTCTGTCTCCCTGGGAGGTGGGCTATATGTCTATTATTGTGATCAGTTCACCCTTCCCATGAGCTCTTATCTGTACCAATGTGTGTACTCTGGTCTAGCTGGATTTGTAAGGTAGAACTGGGTCATGGTAGTGGGTGATGGGGAGAAGCATTAAAGAACTAGAGGAATATTGTTTCCTCAGTGCTATGCTGTACTCTGGCTGGCTCTCAGTGATCCCTCTGTCGGGGAGATGTCCAATGTCTACAGATGGGCTTTGGGTCTCCACTCCAACCCCCTCTTTCTCATTTGGACCTTTTGATACCTGATCCCTAATCCTGTGGACACCTCATGATCACACATGCTGGTGTGCTTCTTCCATGGGGGCTTCTTTACTTCCCTGCTGGATGGCTGCTTGTTTAACTTCAAGCCTTTAAGACCCCAGACGCTGTATCCTTTCTTCACCATCGCTTTCTTCACATTTAATTATGCACCTTATTTTGTCTTCAGCGATCGTGTGATGCGACCACTTTAACTACTCAGCTAGATGTGTAGTGATACCTTATTGTGGTTTTGACTTACTTTACCCCTGGGACCCCTGGTGTGGGGTGTGGTAATCCTGTGTATCTGCTCTGTGACATCAGGGAAGTGTCTGTTGCTGTCCTGCGTTTCCATTCTGGACCGGCCTGGGATGGATCTTATATTGGCTTAAGCAGGGATGAGCCATGATCTGTTTACAAAGGTCAGCCCAGCTAGCTATCTCCAGGAGAATAAAACAGTGGGACCCAACAACAGGGAGAACTGTTAGGAGACCTGTGGAAGTCCAGAGATGATGGGACTGGGAGCTAACATTGAAAATGGAGTGAAGGAGGGGGAAAAAGAGAGGGCTCAAGTAGAAAGAAAATGTTTGGAAACGATGTTGGCAACATATATACAAATGTGCTTGATACAATTGATGTATGGGTTGTTATAAGAACTGTATCAGTCCCCAATAAAGTGACTTATTTATTTTTTTAAAAAGCAGTATGGAAATATCTTAAAGAGCCGTTTCATTGGTTTTTGTCAGATATTTTATATTTTTTCATTAATATTTTAAAACTTTCTCGTAGCATAAAATAAAGAGAAAATGGAGTAAAAAGAGGCGGATGCCTTCTGGAATATTCAGCTCATTAGAGGTAGCGCATATAGGACTTGCAGAAGGGAAAACTAATCAAGAAGGGCTTCCAGGTTCCGCACAGAAGGTGGGGCGGGTGGAGTGGACTAGAGTGGGATGTGTCCTTGGAGAAGCGGGGAGAGCCAACCCCAGCGTCTGGGCTACAGGGTGGAATTGCCTGTGGGGTCTTGGATGGGGTGCTGGAAGACAGCGAGGCTTGCCTTGGGGCAGGATTAAGAGCGAGAGGATTGGAAGGAATCGGAGACTGGCCCGGGTAGTGGTTACCCGTTACGCTGTTAACTGCGGGGTCAGCAGTTCGAAACCAGCAGCCATCCTTTAGGAGAAAGACGGGGTTTTCTTGCCATTCACAGGGGCAGTTCCAGCCTGTCCTACAGATAAGGTCGCCATGATCCGGCATTGGTTTCGGCCTTTTGGTGACTGCCTGCCCTTCGGCACGGGGTGGGGGGGGACGTGGAAGCTTCCTCTAACCACAGCTGGCGGGCAGCAGCAGGGCCGGGACTCCGAGGCACCCGGACACGCGAGGTCGCCCGGCCCTGCCCCGAGGGACGCCCCGGGCGGGCGCGGTGCCCGCGGCACAGTGGGCTGGGCTCCGGCCGGCCGGCCGGCGGAAGGGCCGATCCAAGGCGGCCTCCCGGCTCCGGGCACGGCGCGCTTCGCCCTCCGTGGGCTGAGGCCGGCTGGCGTCCCGGAGGAGGAGTCACTGGGGCCGAGCTTCCAAGGCCACGGGGAGGGCCGTCCTTTGGGGCTGGAAGGGCGGGCGTCCTCTCCCCGCAGGGCCCGCGCCGGGCAGGGGCCTGGCGGCGTCCACCCGGGAATCTTCCGCACTCAAGGCTCCGCCCGCCGGCGTCCCTGGCGGAGCCGGGAGCCGCTCCGGAAACAGCCGAGCGGATCCGGAAACAGCCGAAAGGACCCGGAAGCGGTGAACGCGGTCACTGGGGAGTGCGGGCACCCGCCGTTTGCATTGAGGCGATGGCGGCGGCGGCTGCAGCTGCGGGTAAGCGCGGCCGGCGGCGGCCGGGGTCGGTGCGCGAGGGCGGGTCCATGCACGCGATGGGCGGCGAAGGCCAGGGTGGGTCTGCGCTCCGCAGCCGGCGGGTGGGGGGGCGGGAAGGGGGAACCTGGAGGGAGGGGCGGGGCCACGCCGCTGGAACGGAGGGGGCGGGGCCTGGAGCCCCCGGTGAAGGGGCGGGGCCTGACGATTCCAAGGCTAGGGCCAGTGGCAGGTGAGCGGTGCGGTCCAGGGAGGGAAGGAGTGGGGCCCGGTGGGCCCAGCGGGCAGGGCCATAGGAAGGGAGGGGCCGAATCTTCAGACAAGGCGGGATTCAGTGTACCGAGACATCTAGAAGAGGTGGAGCTTGTTGGAAAGGGGGCGGGGCAGGTGAGAAGGGCGGGGCCAGGTGAATGCGGGCCATTCCCGCGGCAGCCCTGATTTGCACCGTGCGGTGTTTTCGGGAATATTGGGGGATCCACTAAGTGATGCGGGTTCCTGACCCCCACAGCACTGAGCTCCCAGCCCCAGGAAGGGACAAAGGCGGAGGCCGAGGCTGGGGAGCTGTGCCGGCTTCGAGCCGAGCTGGCAGGTGCCCTGGCTGAAATGGAGACCATGAAGGCTGTGGCAGAGGTGAGCGAGAGTACAAAGGCTGAGGCGGTAGCTGCGGTGCAGAGGCAGTGCCAAGAGGAGGTGGCCTCCCTGCAGGCCATCCTGAAAGGTGAGAGGGGCTTTCCCCTACATCCCGTCCATCAGCCCCATTAGGGGAGTGTGGGACAAGACAGGGTGCTGCCAGACATCACCAGAGCCCTGTGGTGGCCAGTTTAGCTCCAAGCACCGACCTCGCCTCTTCGCTCACTAATGACTGATCAGCCCTGAAGAGGAGCAGGCTTCCTGTCTGTCCCAGAGCCAGCCTCATTGTAGTCAGCCTCTGGGTCCAGCTCTGGGCCTGACCTTTCTCTCTGAGACTATGGAGTGTCAGCCTCAGTTTCCACCCACCCACCCACCCAAGGGAGTGTACACACACACACACACACACCACCCCTTGCCACCTCTCATCCTCCATTACTCATTCTAGGGATGTCTCCGCCTCTTTTTCTGTTTCCTCCTGTCGGACCGGAGGCTCCAAGGTCACTTTGGAATGTCTCCAGCCTCCTGGTGCCACCGGTTCCCCTCTGTCCTGGACAGTTCACTCATCTGGCCTTGACATTGGCTACCCGGGAAACTTGCTGACATTCGCATCACACCCTGTCACTTCCCTTGCTAAAAACCTTTCCCTGCTCCAGATGCTCCGGCGCCCTATTTCCCCCATCTCAGGCACGCACCTGTATGATGCCCTCTGATCATTGTATGCCCTCGCCTGTCATTTGTTCTCTAAATAGACCCACTTTCTTAAAACTTACTGTACATACTTGTGTATAAACACAGTTTTCCAGCACATTTTTAATGCAGTTTTTGTAGTAAAATCAGGTGCCTCGGCTGATTTTCGGGTCTGCTTATACTCGAGTTAGTAAATTAATTTTAAAGGAACCATTCTTAAACTCAATGCCATCGAGTGACCCTATACAGGCCAGGGTAGAACTTTCCTTGTGAGTTTCCTAGACTGTAATTCTTTACGGAAGGAAAAAAAAAACAACAATCCTCTTTCTCCTCTGGTCACCCAGCCAGAAAGTAACACAAGAGTTGAACCCAGGCCATTTGGTGGCAATGTTAGCCTTTCCTCCTGACATTAAGGCACTGTGCAGGTAAGTCATGCCTCTGGCTCACCCAAAATGAAAACTGCCCCTTCTGTCACCAGCTCGTCGCGCTGCCACGCAGGAGTGGCATTCAAGACACTCACTCCAGGCTCCTCCCGGCATGTCCCAGACACTCCAGCTAGAGGCACCTCTGAGCCTTTGCTCTGCCAGCAGGAGGGGCGCCTCCCAGGGATCCCAAGCCCAGGCAGGGCCTTGCGGCTCCTCCCACCACATTGGAGCAATTTCCGAGCCTGCAGGCAGCAGGGGCCCTATTGGATGGAGCTCTAGGTGGTCAGGGTTTTGGACACGTGGCCTCTCCTGTACCGCCAGTTTGCAGTGTGAGGAGACATGTGCACGGACGGATGCTCAGTGACTGCCGGGGCTCCCTTCGCAGTTGAGTTGCAGAGTTAGGGTTCAAGTCTAGGCCCCTCTTGCTGCCAGGCCTCTGCCTTCACCACTCTGGTCAATTCCTTGCATGGCCCCACTGGCTGCAGAGAGCGCCTATGCACTGACCGGTCCTCTCCCCACCCTCCCTGTGCGGCCAGACTCCATCGGCAGCTACGAAGCCCAGATGGCTTCTCTGAAGCAGGAACGGCAGCAGCAGCAGCTGGACTGCCAGGACAAGGAGCGCGAGCTAGCCCGGCTGAAGCAGCTGCTGTCCCGGGCGCACCCACTGGACTCCCTGGAGAAGCAGATGGAAAAGGTGGGGGCTGAGATCACACTGCCCGCCTCCCCCTCCCCTGCTGCCATTTGGAAAGAGGTTGAGGCAGCCAAAGACAGTGGTATCCAGGGATGGTTGAGGTCCCATTTCTGGACCCCTTGGGAGCAGAGCACCCAATGGTCATTCTAGCGACGATGGCACAGATTTAGCAGGACCGTGGCTTGCTCAGGGCTAACTAGTGGGGATGACCGAGGGCACTCAGTTAACTCCAAACAGGGAGAAATAAATGAACACTTACAGAAACCTGTGATGTGTAAGGCACCTTGCTGGGCACGACAGAAAGCCCCTCCCCAATCTTCCACCCTGTGAGGTACACCTGGTAGACCCTTCCACACAGGAGTGACGTGAGGCTAAAGGAGTCTGAGGGTGCAGTGGGTGAACTGTTTGGTAGTTCAAACCCACAGCACTCCACAGGAAAAAAAAATTTTTTTTTTTTTGCTTTATTTTACTTTTTTACTATATTGTGTGTTTTTTAAAAATCATTTTATTAGGGGCTCATACAACTCTTATCACAATCCATACATACATCAATTGTGTAAAGCGCATGTGTACATTCATTTCCCTCATCATTCTCAAAACATTTGCTCTCCACTTAAGCCCTCAGCATTAGGTCCTCATTTTTCCCCTTCCTACCCGCTCCCTCCTCCCTCATGAGCCCTTGATAATTTATAAATTGTTATTTTGTCATATCTTGCCCTGTCCGACATCTCCCTTCACCCACTTTTCGGTTGTCCATCCCTCAGGGAGGAGGTCACATATAGTTCCTTGTTATCGGTTCCCTCTTTCCTACCCACTCTCCCTCTACCCTCCCAGTATCGCCACTCACACCACTGGTCCTGTAGGGCTCATCCGCCCTGTTCCCTGTATTTTCAGTTCCTATCTGTACTAGTGTACATCCTCTGGTCTAGCCAGACCTGCAAGGTAGAATTCGAGTCATGGTAGTGGGAGCGGGGAGGAAACATTTAGGAACTAGAGGAAAGTTGTATTTTTTTAAAGTCTAATCCCCCCATAAAGATTGCCGTCCTAGAGGGTGTCTATGCGTCCGAGTCCCAGAGTCAGTGAAGCGGCCACCAGCGGTTTGAATATGACCATCTATCTGCTCCCTTCAAGAGTTGCGTCCCAGAAACATGCAGGGCCAGTTCTGCCCTGTCCTATTGGGTGGCTGTGAGTCAGTCTGGGCCCCGATGGCTGTGACTCCCGTGGGAGGTTATCACTAACAATCACAGTGGACACACATTGTTCCCATGTGCCATCTGATGACCTTGTGTGTTCACACGGTGACCTTGTTTGGTCGTCACGGTGACCTCTCGGAAGCTAGGTGTTTATTAATGACCACTTTGTCCATGAGGAAACCAGAGGTCTGAGGTGCACAGATCACCTGGTTAGGAAGACAGCGATCAAACAACCAGCAAAGGCCGAGCTCCAGATGCCCCTTGCACCTCCATTCCCTTTGGGGGCTTGGGGGGTGGAAGGCGTGATCTCTGATCCCAGAAAGCCACCTGTGCAGCATCGTCTGCTCTGGCGTCTGGTGGAGCTCAGCGGCCCCTCCATCCATTGCGCATGGACCCCAGGCCTGCCTACCCAATGTGGGGGGCTCCTCAGGCTCACCCTGCTTCTGCCCCTCTTCCCAGGAGCAATGCGGTGAGTGGACCTGAGCTTGCAGGAGGCAGCTCTGAGAGCCAGGCAGGAGGTCACACGGGGCGGGGACTGGGAAAGTAGGGACAGCAGGGCAGGAGGAGATGGGCCTTGCTGCAGGTTTCTGTCTGGGGCAACTGGGTGGCTGGCAGGGTGGTTCTTGGGGGACGGGGTGGGGTGGGGGGTGGGGGGTATGCTTATAGGGAGAGGAAGAACACACCAGGCAGGATCAGGTCAGAGGCCCAGGGTCAGCCAGGGGGAGCTGGCCAGACAGAGGCTGGTGGCTATGCAGGCTTGGCAGGAGTCCCAGCCGTGAAAGAACTAGCCAGCGGTGTGCACCACCAGGGGTGGGGTAAGGGTGGGGGGCACAGAGCAACAGGGATGAGGTTTAGCCCTGTGGCTAAAAATCCAAATGAACAGGGGCTTAAAGTAAATGGGGTTTTCTTTTTTGTCCTGTCCAAGGCAGGCTTTCCAGCACGGGTGTGACAGCCCTGAGAACTCAAACCAAACCCCAAACTTTGGCACCCCCATCATCGAGTTGGCTCCAACTCACAGCGACTCTGCCCTCTGAGGCTGTAAACCAGCGGTTCTCCACCTTCCTCACGCCGTGACCCTTTAAGACAGTTCCTCATGTGGTGGTGACCCCCCAACCATAAAATTATTTTCGCTGCTACTTCATCACTGTCATTTTGCTACTGTTATGAATCATCATGTAAATATCTGATAGGCAGGATGTATTTTCATGGTTACAGATTGAACATAATTAAATATAATCGAAGCATAGTGACTCATCACAAAACAATATGTAATGATATATTGTGAAATATTTGTGTTTCCCGATGGTCTTAGGCGACTCCTGGGAAAGGGTCGTTCGACCCCCAAAGGGGCCGAGACCCACAGGTTGAGAACCGCTACTGTAAACCTGCACCGATGGTGCTCAGGCCCCTCTACATTGCTATTAGCCTTAGGCCTCATAGTCCAAGAGGGCTGCTGGGTGCCAGCCACCCTGTCCACATTCCAGCCAGCAAGAAGAAGTGGTAGGGGGAGTAGGAGGAAAGAAAGGCAGACCCCCCTCTCTTGAAAGAAGTGCCCTGGAATGTCCCCATGGACGTCTACTTGTGCCTCCTTGGCCGACAACTTGTCGTGTGGCCGTGCTTAGTTGCGGGGCAAGGACGCTGAGACAGACTGTAGTCTAGAATGTGGCCACGTGACAGACGGACAGACGAAGTGAGCCCGAGGCAGAAGCGAAAAGGAGAATGGAGGTGAGGGAGGAAACGTGGGATCAAGGGAGCAGCAGGAAGGTTGTTGTGACCTTTGCCCTTTCACCTGCCACATGACATAGGCCGAGTCCTGTACGCTCTGAGTGGCCCCTGTTTTCTTATCTCCAAAAGGGGGTCGGGGTGGGAAACAGGGCCTTCTCGAGAGGCCTGGCAGCGTTGACGGGCTAGGGGGAGAGCACTGCACAGGCCCGAGGGTCCTGCCGTTGAGACCCTGTCCCTGCCGAGCCCGCACCCACAGGCTCACGAGGACTCGGAGAAACTGCGGGAGATCGTGCTGCCCATGGAGCAGGAGATAGAGGAGCTGAAGGCCAAGCTGCTCAGGGCGGAGAAGCTCATCCAGGAGATCCAGGTGAGGGGCGGCCGGGAGCGAGGAAGGGAGAAGCACCCTCCTGAGACCCATCCCGAAGCCTCTCTCTCCCTGTCCCGCTCTCCCCAGAGACGGCCTGAGCCCCCCGCCTCCCTGCATGGCTCCACGGAGCTGCTGCCCCTATCCCGGGACTCGTCCCCCCCTCTGGAGCCACTGGAGGAGCTGAGCGGAGACGGGGGCGCAGCAGCCGAGGCCTTCGCCCACAACTGTGACGACAGCGCCTCCATCTCCTCCTTCTCCCTGGGCGGCGGGGCCAGCAGCAGCACCTCCCTGCCCCACAGCCGCCAGGGCCTGAGCCCGGAGCAGGAGGAGACTGCCTCCCTGGTGTCCACGGGCACCCTGGTCCCGGAGGGCATCTACCTGCCGCCTCCTGGCTACCAGCTGGTCCCAGACAACCAGTGGGAGCAGCTGCAGACCGAGGTGAGTGAGTGGAAGGCCTGGCTTGCCCTCGTCCCAACACTGACTGCTCGCCTGCTGAGACCCGGCCCGAGCTCAGGCTGGGAGACCACCCTGAAGAAGGGGCGTTCTACCGACTGGCAGCAGCAGGAGACCGGCCCTCCAAGCTTAAGACCTGAGCCCCAGAGAACTGCAGGGTCAGCAGGCTCTGAGCAGGACCGGACGGACAGCAGTGTGTCTGAGGATAAGGAAGGAGTGAGGACGGTGCCTGGGGGGAATGAGGTTCAGAAGGAAGGGTCCCTGTGAGCTTGGGCCTCATGAGGCAGTCACCAAACCAAACCAATCCAAAAAACCCTGCCAACAACAGGGATTCCAGCTCACGGTGATCTGAAGGAGGCTGTCTGAGGCTGTAACTCTCGATGAGCAGGCAGCTGGTGGGTTTGAACCCCTAGCCTTGCGGTGAGGAGTCAACACTTAGTGACAGCACCACCAGGGCGCCTTTGGGCTGCCACCGAGCTCTGGTGTTAAGATGAAGAGCTTGGGGAAGCTTCCAGAAGAGTAAACCAGGCAGAGGCCTGCCCTACTTTGGGTGTTTACAAGGTGACTTGGACCACTGTGTAGGAAGAGGGGGGGTGGCTGGGTGTGGCTGGTGGGGTGAGAGGCAGGGGCCGGGAGCCTGAAGCCAGGACCCTCGGCAGGGGCAGCAGCTGCAGAAGGACCTGGAGAGCCTCGGCCGAGAGCGGGACGAGCTCCGAGAGGGCCTGAGACGGAGCAACGAGGACTGTGCCAAGCAGGTGGGCCCCTGCAGGGCCTCTGGCTTCCCTCCTTTCCCTAGGGGGCAGGCCCTGGCCTCTCACCCGACGGCCACCCTCGTTCTCCCCCCACCCACAGATGCAGGTGCTCCTGGCCCAAGTGCAGAACTCAGAGCAGCTGCTGCGGACCCTGCAGGGAACTGTGAGCCAGGCCCAGGAGCGAGTTCAGCTGCAGATGGTGAGACCTGGACGGATGCAATTGGGGCAGGGGCGGGGCGGGGCAGGGGTGGTGCCTGCCATGCCACTCTTGTGTGCTGAGGTCTGGCAGGCAGTCAGCCCTTGAACTAATGCCCCGTAGGTCCTTGAGCTAATGGCCCCAACTCAGAATGCTGGGGACCTAGTGCATGGGCCTGAGGAGGAAACGCAGGGAGCTTGGGAGGCGGAGGCTCTGCAAGCCGATGACCAGAGGGGCCAGGGGCTGGGAGCCTCTGGGTGAGCCTGGAGCGCAGGGCCCAGGGCCGCCTGCAGGGGGCCCACGCCGCCCAGCGCTCTGGGTCTTCTTGGGAAGTCTGACCTGCATTCAAGAGGGGTGTGTTAGCTTCCAATTTGTAAAGCTGACACCGAGTTTGAATGCTGATAAAAAACCTATTGTAAGGAACTATATGTGACCCCCTCCCTGGGGGACGGACAACAGAAAAGTGGGTGAAGGGAGACGTCGGACAGGGCAAGATATGACAAAATAACAATTTATAAATTATCAAGGGCTCATGAGGGAGGGGGCAGCGGGGAGGAGGGGAAAAATGAGGACCTAATGCTGAGGGCTTAAGTGGAGAGAAAATGTTTTGAGAATGATGAGGGCACTGAATGTACAAGTGTGCTTTACACAATTGATGTATGTATGGATTGTGATGAGTTGTATGAGCCCCTAATAAAGCGATTAAAAAAAAATTTTTTTAATCACGTGGCAAACCCAAAGGCACTGATTTATACACGTAGAAGCTGTTGAGTTGGAGATTGTATTGTTGCGTATATTATTTCTGACATGAACAACAGCGAGTACAAGGGAGAAGAAAATGTTCCGGAATTGACTGTGTTCCTTGGAATGACTGGGTTACTGAATTGTGTGACATGTGGCTGGCGGGCCAATAAAACTTAGAAAAAGAAGCACAGAGCCACCCACCCCCCAAAATAAGCCAAACACCCTGTGGACCCACAATAATGCCAGTGGTGGCCTGTCCAGGGTGCTGGGTGCCTCCTGTGGAGCAGGGTGGACATGGCTTGGTTCCTGTCCTTTCTAGGGAGAGGAGAGGGCTTGGGACGCCTTCCCAGCAGGCAGGCTGGGAGGCTCCAGGTTTGACTTTCCAGGGGACCAGCGGCTCGCTGGCCCACACGTCACCTGGTGCCAACTGCCCACCCACAGGCCGAGCTCGCTACCTCCCACAAATGCCTGAGCCGTGAAGTGAAGCGGCTGAGTGAGGAGAACCGGGGACTCCGGGCCGAGCCGCCGCCACCTGGTGCGCCCCCAGGCCTGGACCAGGAGGAAGGCAGGCACGAGGAGCTGCCCAGCTTAGTGCCGGTGAGGGGACTGTGGGCACCCTGCCAAGCCTTCCCTTACCATTTCTGGTGTAATTTGAATCATGCATGAAGGATGGCGTGCTTAGCCTGTTGGTTCTGAGTCTTAGGAAAAAGGTCGCTTGGTGTAGAAGACCCTCTGGAACTTTCCCTCAGCACACCTCATGGTGGCATGTGGCTGTGGGGTGTGTCTCCGCTGGGAGGATAGTCACCGCTGGGCATAGGCTAGGTCCCTTCCCCTACCCTTCCTCCTGCCCCAGCCGCCCTCCCCATGGCTCCCACCTGGCCAGTGGCCCCTGCCCTCCTGCCACACATCCCACCTGTGAGGACTCCGTCCCTCCCAGGACCTGCAGCAGCTGGTGCGGCTCACGAGGCAGGAGGCGCGGGCCCGGCAGCAGGCCTGGGAGCACGAGGCCGAGCGGCTGCGCATTGAGATTGTGAAGCTGCGGGAGGCCCTGGAGGACCAGACGGCGGCCAGGGCCAGCCTGGAGGGACAGTTGAGGGTGCAGCAGGAGGAGACAGGTGAGACAGGCGGTGCCAAGCCCCATTCTCCGGAAGGCTGGCTTCCCCACGGGCTCCAGGCATGAGCCGAGAGCGGGGAGCGGGGAGCCAGTGAGACACGGGCCAAGCATGGGCCAAGAGCAGGGATCAGGGACCCAGTGAGAACTCGCCCTGACCTCTCTCTTTCCTTTCTCCACAGAGGTGTTCGAGGGTGAGTATGGGCTAGGGCCGGCAGAGCTGGGGCCTGGGCTGGAGAGGGTTGTGGTGGGGGCGCTGGCCTGACACTCGCCCCTGGCCTGACTCCCCAGCGTCCCTGTGCAGCCTGAGGACGGAGCTGGAGCGAGTCCAACAGGAACACAGCAAGGTGAGGAGCCAGCCCACAGGGGCTCATCCCGGGCAGGGTGACAGGAAGCGGCTGCCGGGTGGAGAAGGCTCTGACCACCCCTTCCGGCCGTGTCTGCCTCCCCCAGGCCGGGCAGCAGGAAGCGCCGAAGCCACCAGTAGCCTCTAGCCCGACGGAAGAGGTCAGAGTTGTGGTTGGCAGAAAGGGGACGGCTGGGTCCACACATCCCCTGCCTCTGGCCGCAGCTCGGCTTCCTCCCCGCAGGCCCCAGTCCCTGACCTCCTCTCAGAGCAGAGGGCCAAGGTGCTGCGGCTGCAGGCAGAGCTGGAGACCAGCGAGCAGGTGCAGAGGGATTTTGTACGTCTGTCCCAGGCCCTGCAGGTATGGTGTGACCCTCCCCACCCAGTGGCAGGGGTCTTCTTCCTCTTACTGGGACTGGGCTGGCCCTCCTTAGAGGTCTGTGTCCACTCTTAGGGCCCGGCCCGCCCCATGCAGGTAGATCATGTTACATAAGCCCGCCAGCGATCATCCCTGTGACTGCCCGACTTCCCCAGGCTTCGTTCTTAGGACCCATTTCCTCCTTGGCACCCAAGTCCACCACGGGCATGGGTGGGGGGTGGGGAGGAGTGGTGGCCAGTTGGTAGGGGCTAGGCTTCCCCACCCAGGGCCCACCTTGCCCCTCCAGGTGCGCCTGGAGCGTATCCGCCAGGCAGGAACGCTGGAGCAAGTTCGCAGCATCCTGGATGAGGTGCCCCTCAGAGATGTCAGGGACATCAGGGACACCTGAGAGACCTGGTCAAGGACCGTCCCTGGCCCACCATCCCGGAGAGACTGCCTGTCTTCCCTGTGGAGCCTAAGGCCTGGGCCTGGGAACTTGGGTCCAAGGGGATGGGGGCTGCCCCTGCTCTCTCCCGCCACACCTCCTCCCAGGGGTGTCTGTGCCTCCTAGTCTCAGGGATGACACCTGGGTGAGGGGCCACGCCCCTCCCAGAACCAAAGGCGCAGGCTGGAGCCTGCAGCTGCCTGCCACTGCTGGCCCTGTGCTGGCTCCTGGGCCCGAGGCCTCCCCTCCCAGCAGCCCCTGCCTGAGACACAGTGCCAAGCTGTGTGGTGGCCTTGGTCTGCCAGGGAGCCCTCAGTGCAGGTCTCTTTCTCACATACCCACCAGCTACCCTCCAGGCGGCATGACACTAAAAGGCGGGGAGGGGGAGGGAACCCCACCACGTGCACAGAAGGGAGGCCAGACTTTTCTGTCATTTATTTTCAATAAATAAGCAGCTCAGCTCCGTCGGTCGGTCGCCTTGTCCCTGGCAAGCCCCACAAGGGGGAGGGTTTACAAGGTAAATGGGGAGAGGGGTGTGGGGCTCAGAGTTTATAAACAGACAATGTGGGGGACATGGGGGGGTGGCGTGCCACAGCTCTGGCTGAAGATGCATCCTTATGGGGAGGAAGGACTGGTTACTTCCTTCGTTCATCTTCAGGATCTGGAAAAGAAAGGCGGATGAGTGGCGGGGCCGGCAGGAGTGGGGTCGGGCCTGCGGACGCCCTGCACACTCACCTGGAGGGAGGGGCACTTGCCCTTGTGCTCCTTCACTCACCTGTGTCCCCAGACCCCACTGCCCCCACCACTGCGGCCCTAGCAACAGAGAGCTCAGCGCAGTCCCTGCGCAGCGCAGCAAACCAGTCCCAGCGCAGCGCAGCGCAGCGCAGCGCGGGGAGGCCCCAGAGAGCAGTGGGCGGCAGTAGTGGCTCCAGCCAGGTGGAGCTGTGAGTGCGCAAGTGACCTCAGGTGTGGAGGGAGGCGCAGGCGCAGGCGGCGGGCAGAACAGCTGGGGGCAAGCGCAAGAAGGGCCAATACCTGTGACACGGCTCAAAAAGATGGAGGAGGGGGAACAGGTTATCCTGTGGCCAGAGGACAGAGAGGGCCGTTACCAAGGTGGGGCGGTGAGGGGAAGAGGTTTGGGGGTGTCCCGCAGAGAGTGGGGAAAGCAGGGGGGACTGGGGTGCTCCTCCCTGGTGGACCCTGGTCCTGCAAGGCCAACAAGGACACGCCCAGCTGGGGAGGAGGAGGAGCGCAGTGCGCACGCAGGGAGGGCCTGCGGTCCAGGCGCTCAGGCTGCGAGGAGCGGAGAGGCTTACCTTCTAGATAGTTCCGAGCAATGAACTTGAGCAGCTCGTCCAGCCCGATGACCGGAAGTGAGATCTTGAGGACCATGAACCACTGGTTCCAGTCCAGGGGCCGGAGCTTGAAGATCATCTGAGGGCGCAGAGAGCACCCTGCTGAAGGCGGGTGGGAGCCGCAGACCCAGCACCGCCCCGCACCAGCCCACCCATTTCTGGTTGACATAGACCTGGGTCCCACACGGGCCCCCTAAGGGGGTCAGCAGGGAGGTGGCCTGCCCCAGGAGGAGGCTTACTGGCAGGGGGTCGACGTAGAGGATGAGGAAGTGGAGGGACATAGAGAGGCAGATGGAGCCCAGGAGCCAGATGTTCACCCAGGGCGGCATCCTCAGGAGCGACTGGTTCTCAGACAGGCTGTGAAAAAAGGAGCCAGGAGCGGAAACACGTGAAGAAAGCAAGGGGTGAGGTGAGGAGGTGGGCCTGGGGTGCAGGCCCAGGGGCGGGGCCTCACCTGTTGAGAGCATTGCACATCTCAATGGTGACCAGCACAGACAAGGCCATGGTCATGGGTTCAGGGGCCTCAAAGACCTCACAGTCCAGACCCTCAAAGTCCGGGTTGTCCTCGGTGCACTGCATGAAGTGAGTCTGCGCAGGGCCGGGAGGGGTGGGACGCTGAGTCCCTGCAGAGGCTCCAAGCACAGCCCTCCCTCCCTCCGTCCGCCCCCCTTGGCCCTCTGCCTACCAGCTGGCTGTAGTTGACCTGTGGCCCGTCCTCAGCATACAGGAACCACCAGGCAGCTGCACCTACTGTAGCCGCACCCACATAACCTGAAGCAGAAGATGGAATTTCGGGGGCTGGGTCAGGGTTCCATTTGGAGGGTGTCAGGAGAACCGCACATGCCCAGGGGCAGCTGATTGAGGGCAGGGCCCATCGGGACGAGGAGGACTTGGGGAGCCGGTGTCTTAGAGGGGAGTCAGGCCTCAGGGCTGATCAGGACTGTGAGGTTGGGGTGGGGAGGGCAGCTGCATCCCAGTCTGCCTACCCCCGATTGCCATGTAGCGGAAGAAGAGCCAGCCACTGATGAGAGGTTCCTTTGGGCTTCGGGGCGGCCGGTCCATGATGTCCAGGTCTGGCGGGTTGAAGCCCAGGGCCGTGGCCGGGAGCCCATCTGTCACCAGGTTGACCCACAGAAGCTGCACGGGGATCAGGGCCTCAGGTAGCCCCAGGGCGGCCGTCAGGAAGATGCTGCAGGAAGGAGACAGTGGGCATGGTCCTGCCGCCAGAGCCGGGTCCCTCTCCCCTCGCCCCTCCCCACCCTCCTCCACGTCTGCTTACCAGACCACCTCTCCCACGTTGGAGGAGATAAGGTAGCGGATGAACTGCTTCATGTTGTTGTAGATGGCGCGGCCCTCCTCCACGGCGGCCACAATAGTGGAGAAGTTGTCGTCGGCCAGCACCATCTCAGAAGCGGTCTTGGCCACTGCGGTGCCAGAGCCCATAGCAATGCCGATCTCCGCCTTCTTCAGGGCAGGGGCGTCGTTGACGCCATCACCTGTCTGGGAGGTGAAGGTGGGACTCAGGGCCCCTTCTGCATAGCACCCTCCTGGAAACCCTGCAGCGGGGCCTGCAGACCTCGGGTCCAGCATTAGTTAAACTTCCTCCACTCACACCCCCTTTGTGCGTGAGAAATTTGTATTCAACTCCAGGCACACACGGCCATAAAATAGAAGTATGCAAATAAACTACGGCTTTTAACGAACAATGATTGCGATATCATCGCGAACCGCAACATCGAGCTGGCGGCGCCCGGCTACAAGCGTCCACTGTGTGATGGGGACCGAGGTTGCCTCAGCGTCTCCCAAGGCAACATCAGAGATACCCTGAGCTTCTTCACCCAGTGGATTTTTTAAAAAATCTTTTTATTAGGGGCTCATACAACTCTTATCACAATCCATACATACATCAATTGTGTAAAGCACATTTGTACATTCATGGCCCTCATCATTCTCAAAACATTTCCTCTCCACCTAAGCCCCCGGCATCAGTTATTTATTTTTCCCCTCTCTCCCGCTCCCCACTCCCTCATGAGCCCTTGATAATTTATAAATTATTTTGTCATGTCTTGCCCTGTCCAACGTCTCCCTTCACCCACATTTCTGTTGTCTGTCCCCCAGGAAGGTCACATGTAGATCCTTGTAATCAGTTCCCCCTTTTCAACCGACCCTCCCTCCACCCTCCCAGTATCGCCACTCACACCACTGGTCCTGAAGGGATCATCTGCCCTGGATTCCCTGTGTTTCCAGTTCCTATCTGTACCAGTGTACCTCCTCTGGTCTAGCCAGACTTGCAAGGTAGAATTGGGATCATGATAGTGGGTGGGGGTTGGGGTGGGGTGGGAGGAAGCGTTTAGGAACTAGAGGAAAGTTGTAATTTTCATCGTTGCTACATCACACCCTGACTGGCTCGTCTCCTCCCCAAGACCCCTCTGCAAGGGGATCTCCAGTGGCCTACAAATAGGTTTTGGGTCTCCACTCCGCACTCCCCACCTCATTCACTATGGTAAGATTTTTTGTTCTAATGATGCCTGATACCTGATCCCTTCAACACCTCATGATCACACAGGCTGGTGTGCTTATTCCATGTGGACTTTGTTGCTTCTGAGCTAGATGGCCGCTTGTTTACCTTCAAGTCTTTAAGACTCCAGAGGCTATATCTTTTGATAGCCAGGCACCATCAGCTTTCTTTACCACATTTGCTTATTCACCCACTTTGTCTTCAGTGATTGTGTCGGGAAGGTGAGCATCATAGAATGCTAGTTTAATAGAACAAAGTGTTCTTGCATTGAGGGAGTACTTGAGTGGAGGTCCAATATCCATCTGCTACCTTAATAGTATGTGGGTTTATTTAATACTACAATAGTAAACCTATAAATATATGCACATAGATCTATTTCCACATCCTCATATATAAATATATTTACATGCCTGTATGTAGACCTCTATAAATGCCCTTTGCCTCCTAGTTCTTTCCTCTATTTCCTTTGACTTTCCGCTTGTCCCACTATCATGCTCAGCCTTCATTTGGGTTTCAGCCATTCCTCTTGCATGTGGTGGATTTTGAATTCAGTTTTTTTTTTTGTTTTTTTTTTAATTCAGTTTTTGGGTGTGCGCTCAGAACATCTTGCTGTGGCCAAATTTTCTTGACAACACCACCCTACACACACACACACACACACAGAGTTTCAGATTCTCTGTTCTAGTCCATATTCTTCCCACGCTCTCTCTCCTTCAGCCCCCTCCCACCAACACCGCTCCCCTCCTCAAGAGTGGTCCGAAGCCCCGCTCAGTGCCAGGGTGCCTGTGGCACTCACCATGGCAGTGATCTCGTCAAAGGACTGCAGGAACTCCACGATCTTGGACTTGTGGGAGGGCTCCACACGGGCAAAGCAGCAGGCGCGGCGGCAGGCTTCCCGCTGCTCAGCCAGGGGCAGGTCATCGAACTCCCGGCCAGTGTAAGCCCGGTCTGCCACCTCCTCCATCTCTCCGAAGATGCCGATGCGCCGGCAGATGGCGATGGCCGTGCCCTTGTTGTCCCCTGTGATCATGATCACTCGGATGCCTGCATCTCGGCACAGCTGGATGGAGCCTGTGACCTCCTTTCGGGGTGGGTCCAACATGCCTACCACGCCCACAAAGGTCAGGTCCAACTGGGGAGGCAGAGCAGAGCGACAGGGTCAGGGAGGGGCCCGGCCACCCTAGCGGCTTCATCCTGGCAGGGCCAGGCCCATTGTAGGCGACGAGAGCCAGTCTTCAGGGACCGAGAAGGACTGGAAATCAGGATGCCTCTGCCTCCAGGAGTCCACTCCATCCCATCCACCTGCTGGCCTATGGAGGCCTGGAGGGGAGGGAGTGGTCTTGATGCTCTCCCAGGGGGCACCCACTCCTAGGTCAGCGCTGGACCAGAGTAGAGGGGGCCCTCTGCAGGGGCGCACATGCTCAAGGCTCAGCTGCTCACCTAGTGCCTGCAGCCCACCCAGAAACACACTAGCACAGCCCCAGGCCGGGGGACTTGGAAGGGTGGTCTAAGGGCCCAGCCCGACTGGTGGTGTGAGAAGGTGCCGGGGGGCTGCCATCGCCCACCTCGTACTCCACGAACTTGGCAGAGTCGTCCAGGAACATGTCTTCTCGCTTCGGGGGCGTGTCCCGGGTGGCCAGGGCCAGGCAGCGCAGGGTGTCGCGGCCAGTGCCCCACTCCTTGATCACGGACAGGATCTTCTCCTTCACGGGCCCTGTCATGGGCACCCGGGTGGTGCCTACTCGCAGGTAGTTACAGCGGTCGATGACACCCTCAGGGGCCCCCTAGGAGATGGGATAGGGGGTGTCACAGAGCACTCCTTCCTGCCAGGGCCGAGTGGGGTCAGGACTTCGGGCTCAGGAGAGCCCAGGAGGGAGGCACTGGCACCAGGCGTAGTTTCTGACCTTGATGAACATCTTGTTGCCCACAGCAGCCCGGGAAGATTTGGCTGGAGAGCAATAGACGGACATGGACTTCCTGTCTCGGGAGAACTCCAGGGTGAATTCCTTCTTCATTAGCTGGCGGATGACCTGGGAGAGAGGAGATGGACCGAGAGATCAGGGTGATCCCGTGCGGACAAGGAAAGAATCTGGACCCACAACAACAGGATCTGAAGATCCCAGCAGAGCCCCAGCTGGGTCTGAGACAAAAGCTCTGTGGCACCAGAGTACACATGGAGAGAATTCCAACCCTCAGGGCGCCGCCGTCCTTCAGCGTCCAGGGCAGAGACAGGAGCTCGTGAGGCACTGACCAAGAGAACGCTCCAGGGGGCCGCAAGGGTCTGTCACTGGCACTGTCCAATGTGGTGCCCGGCACTATGGCAGCCGCACACCGAATATACGGCCAGGTGTGACTGAGAGTGGACCTGGTGCTTCTCTTTCATTTTAAGGATGTTGAAGGTCAACAACCACATATGCCCGTAGACAGCGCCGGCCGAGTGCCCGGCTTGCTGTACTCACTAAGTGCTCCATCATAGGAGGGCTTTCTCACCACATGTGTGTGTTGGGGGGTGGCTCACAGTTCTCATGTCTGCTCACATCCTCTGTCCATTGCTGGGCACGGCTTTCATTTTGAAAATTTAAAAAAATGAGCCCTCTATCAATAGACATTTAGGCTGTCTGCCACTG